ACCCCAGCCAGGGCACCTGCCTCCGGCCTGCCCAGAGCTCAGGCCTGGCCGGACACTTGGAGCAGACGTGGCGAGGACCAGCAGGCCCCACCGCCCATGCTGGGACCTGCTGCTGCGGCACCACGGGGTCCACACTGCACCCCGTGAGAGCTGCTGCCCTGGGGACACCCACGAATGTAGGCGCATGTGCACAGGTGCTCGCGGCCAGACCAGAACCCCCAGAAGCCACTCCCCGCCCGACCTCTGGGGGCTGACGGGACAACACGCTGACGCTCTGCCTTCTACACCCGTCCGCCTGCCCGTCCGCCTGACCACGGAGCGAGGACACACACCGCCCTGGGCACAGGGCCACCGCTTTGCCTCCCACACCCCTCCCGGCGCTTTCTAGGAGGAGCTGTGTTTTGTTTTTTAGGTTGTTGTTTTTTTCCCCAAAAAAGCCACTTACTGCCTTCAGGGGAAACTCCACTCCTCCCCACGACCCGCCCCCAGCAGGCCGGCTGCTGCTCGTGGCGGCACCACCGCAGGCCCCTCTCAGGGCGGCGCTCCCCCAAGGCTCCAGGGGAGGTCCCTGCAGCTTCCGCTGGCCTCCACCGGCACCTGCTGCTCCCCTACACCGTCTGCGTCTGTGCCCGGACGTCCCTCTTCTCAGCAGGACACCAGCGTGACCTCCTCATACCCCTGGCACCTGCACTCACAGGTCACAGGGTTAGGACTTCAACGTGTCTTGTCGGGGACACGACTCAGCCCACAACACTCATTAACGAGGAAGCAGTGAAATGCCACCACCCAGCTCCAGTGGCCCCTGGACCACTAGACTGACACAGGCAATCAGGTCCTGAAATGACGGGTCCGCAGACGCGGACCTGGCCAAGACCCAAAGAGCGGCCGTCAGCTGCTTCCCACTGAACCAAGTGGATTTGTGTTTCTGTGAAGAACTGTTTGCGTTGCCATCAATTCTTTGCAATTAGGACACTGAAACAGTTCAAAAATAACGACACAGAAAATCCGAGAGGGCCAACAGGACACCCCGCTGACGCTCTCTGACTCGTCAAAGCCTCTGCAACTCCCCCGGCAGAACCCTGAACACACACGCAGGCGGGGAGGACAGGGAGCTACACGGGCATCGCCGGCTCCGCCACTGTCCCAGTCCGCCGGGCACCCGGGTCCACGGGCCGCCTCAGAGCCAACCCCACGGAGACCGTGTCCTCTCCCTCCCACTGAAAGGAGCCGGTTGTAAGGGGTTTAGAGAGAGGAACGGGCCGTCCCTCCAGGGACGGCCTGAAAGAAGAGGGGCAGGAGGGCGGAGCCCAGCACACGGCGCACATGCTGACCCGGGCGTGCACTCCTGCACACACGTGCACACACAGGACCGCACGCACACGTGTGCCCAGCACAGACGCCCTCTCCGCCAGGGACGGCAGTGGTCAGCCCCTGGGCAGGACCCCAGGGAGGCCCCCGAGGGGTGTCCGTCCCCAGTCAGCTGGCAGCTGAGACTGCAGCTCACCTGTCCCAACAACCGTCTCACCGCCGCTCTGTCCTGAGGGTGCTGGCATCCGTCACTGCCCTCCACGTCACACCCCATGTCAGGCTGTCCGTCCCCCACCTTCCCTGCCTGCGACCTCTCCCTCCACACTGGGGTGGCACTAGCTCCAGTCCCCAAAGACCACCTACTTGCAGCCACGACACCTCTGTCCACCTTCTACCCAGCAGCCAGGATGACATGTCACTCCCAAAGCGTCCGCCCCCGCCCCCAAGACAAAGCCCCAGTGCAGTCCCCTCCCAGTGCCGTGGGGCCGGGGGCTGCGGTGAGGCTGCCCTCCGGCCTCACCCCACTGAAACTCACAGCTCTCCCACCAGCCTCCCTCCCTCCCCCTGGCTCCCCTCCCCAGAAGCACAGCTCAGAGGCCACCTCCTGGGAAGCCTGCAGTGACCCCCACCAGGATTGGCCCGGCACAGACCAGGCTCCCAGTGACAACCATCAAGTCCAGAGGAGAACTCCCTCGGGGGGGACCCACTAGTAGCTGACTCCTCCGAGTTCCCAGACACCGGGCCCGGGGCTCTGCCACTGGGCCCCCCTTTGGGAGTGTTCTGCTTATTTTTCAGGGAGGACGCTGAGGGGCCTGGGCTGGGGTCACAGATGTCCCCTCCCCACCCCCAGTCACCCCCACCCTGTCCCCACCCTGTCCTTGCCCCACTGCAGCAGTGCTCAGGGCTGGCCATGGGGGGGGTCAGTGTTGGGCTGCACTGTGCAGAGCCGGCCCAGGGGGAGCTGGAGGGGACCACCTGGCTGCCCTGCTGGGTTTTGTCATTAAAGTGTGTACATTGTCGCTGTTTTAGACATCGCTGTTGCACACTTAATAGACTACAGCGTGGAGAAAACACATGCACAGGAAACTCCACTTCACTGTGAAACTCGCTTCCTCTGGACCAGCCCCCCACCCCCCGCCCCAGTCTCAGAGGGGCGCCCGCCACAGGCTGCGGGTGGGGAACCTGAGGGTGGCTTCCAGGAGGTTCTTGAGGGCTGAGGCTCCACTCTGGGACCCTCGCAGGGCGGTGGGCCGCAGCCCACAGCTCCTCCACTCGGGGACACTCTACAGGGCCCCTTGGCTGTCTCGGGCAGGCGTGGGCACCAGGGTGAACTGTGGACGCAGCCTCATTCTCTTCATCGGAAGCAGGTCTCTAAGTCCAGCCCGCACTCCGGCTGTGTCCCCTTTTAAACCCTCAGCTGGTCAGCGCAGACAGACAGTTGGTGCCTGGGCAGCGGGGGTAGGGGTCACAGCTCCGGGGGCCCACGCTGGAGCCCCCTCAGCCCCAGCTCCTGAGTGCCCTTTGTGCTGCCAAGGGGCCGATTCTTCCCAAACTTCCTCTTGATGCTAAATTTTTAACAGCAAAGTGCCCATCATTAAAATTTGTGTAAAACCACACCATGGGCCCTGACTGGTGGGGCTCAGTGTGTTGAGCGCTGGCCCTGCAAACCAAAGGGTTGCTGGTTCAATTCCCAGTCAGAACACATGCCTGGGTTGCAGGCCAGGTCCCCAGTAGGGGGTGAGTGAAAGACAACCACACATGGATGTTTCTCTCCTTCTCTTTCTCCCTCCCTTCCTCTCTCTCTAAAAATAAAATCCTTTAAAAAAACAAAAACTACACCATCACGGCCCATCTGCTTGCGACCAAGTACTTCGGCCCAAGGTCAGCCTCAACCTCTGCTAGGGTCACCTGCGGGAGGGTCAGCCTGGGCAAAGCTGGGCCCCACAGAAGCCACACCCATGTGGGGGAGCACCGCACACCCGGGATCCACCGGTCGTCCCCCTGCAGGAGCGAGATGCCGTGGTGGCTGTTGTTTAGGGAGGGGACACTATTTGAACTTTTGCTGAACAGAAGGAACAGCCCGGACACAATCTAGTTGGTGTACCCCTTACCAAAGTTGGAGCCTCGGTGGGGGGACCTTCCACTAAGGACAGAGCAGGATGGGCAAGCAGCCAGAGCAGGAGGGAGGCCCACACACGACCTGGAGGAGGTGCCTGATGGCCGGCCCAGCAGGCGCCAAAGACACTGCTGGGGCCAGGGGCCTGTGGTGGGGGCGGGTCACCATGGGCCCTGGAGACGGGCTTGGGCTGGCCGATAGCCGAGCGGGGCCGCGCTGTCACACGCACACAGACATGCAGGTGGGCAGGCACAAAGTCACACGTCCTTCAGTCTCTGCAGGAAAGCGCCACAGCCCTGGCGGCTCCAGCCTGCAGCTGCCCCAGGACCAGCCCCACCGGGCCTGGGTTCAGAAGCAGGAGCCAGTCGGCGCTTCCTGCTCCTCACAGGTGCCCGAGGTCAGTGGCCACGGACTGCAGCTCGGCTCACAGGTGGAGGTGGAGTCTTCAGTGCTGCAGGAGGGCCGTGTGCCAAGTCACCAAGCGGCAGCTTCCATCGGCTGACTTGGGGGCACGCTTCTCCAGTGACTGCAGCAGGGAGACTCGGCCCACCAGTGTCCCCACCTCTGGCCAGCCTCACAGCCCCACTCACCAGGCCTGGCCAAGCCCCAGGCCTCACCCCAGCTCCCCAACACCAGAATCCAGATCTGCCTAGTTTGGTGCCTGAAGCCTGGGCCTCCCCCACAGACACCGGGAGGCTTGGGAATGAAGCAGCGGCTGAATGTCCACCGGTGCAGAGCAAAACTTGTCCCTATCGCCACCTTGTCCAGGCCACCGAGACCCAAACAGGCCAAAGGGTCCGGCCAGCAGCACAGCCGCTGACTCTGAATTCAAGGAAAGGAAACGCTGTGAAGGAGAAGCTGCAGCAGAACCCAGGGACCCCCGGGCGGGACCTCGGCACCAAGCAGTCAGAACCAGGCACGCAGGCCACAGACAGAGCAGCCTGCGGGGTCCCGCAGTCCTGCTCCCACCCCTACGCCAGCTCCACGCCCTTGGACGGCCACATCTTTGGCACAATAGTTCAGGGCACTGGGCGGGAAGGCTCCCCGAAGGGAAGCCCAAGTCAGGGGACAATGAGGCTGCACCAGCATGTGGCTTGGGCAGGTCCAGATCAGCAGTTCCGGCTCAGGGCGAGGCCCCAAAGAGACATCACAGGTTCCTGGCAGGCAGGACACAGCACGGGGCACAGGGCTGAACACACACTGTCTCACCTGCATGCGTGTGCCCCCGGAACAGGCAGGCGCAGCAGATGGGAAGCCGTGGAATCCCGTGACTCAAGGGTGTGTTGGCTGAGCTCCAGCCGGGCCCACCGCTGGTGAGTTCTTGCACATCCCCTCCCCCACCTGGCACCAGGAAGACAGGTGTTGTGTGACCGGGGTGTGGGGCAGCCTTCATGCTCTGACCTGTCTCATGATGCGCCAGGCCCTCCAGGCCCCAGGGAAGCCCCCAGTGGCCGGCGACACTCAGGGCCCAGGGTGTGCGTCAGTCAGCCTAGAGAGCAGTGACCTGGGTGAGCTCCGTGTTGGGCGTGGACGGGCTCTGCGGGCTGACGGGCGCCATGGGCAGGTCCACGCCTAGTCATGCGGGCCGCGGCACGGTCTCTGACGTCTTGCAGGCGAGGGCCACGTCCTTGGCGATGCTGCGCACTCGGTCAGACACCGGCCCCTCCCGGCGCAGCGCAGACGTGCAGCAGAACTTGCGGAAGCAGGCCTTGAAGTTCTCGTCCAGGAAGGCGTAGAGGACGGGGTTCAGGCAGCTGTTGACGTAGCCCAGGGCGGTGCAGAAACGCAGGGCGGCCACCGCCGCCTCACTGCCCGGCTGAACCCCCAGCCCTTGGACCAGCACGAAGACCTGGACGGGCGTCCAGCAGCCCACGAACACAGCCACCACCACCAGCACCAGCCGCGTGATGCGGCGCAAGTTCCGGTCCTTCTCCCGGGAGCCCGAGAGCAGGCGGACGCCCCGCAGCCGCCGGATCATGAGGCTGTAGCAGACGCAGATGATCAGCACGGGGATGACGAAGGAGAAGAGGAAGATGCACACGGCAAACAGGGGGCCCCAGTAGTCCTGCGGGGCAGGCACCTCCACCAGGCACTCGATCTCTGTGGGCAGAGGGGCAAGGTCAGGGGGAGCCAGGGAGCGCGGGCCGGGGAGGGGCAGCCCCCGACTGACCTTCGTCCTCCACCTGCGCCGAGCCCATGATGGCCACGGGGATGCCGACCACGGAGGCCAGGGCCCAGATGGCCACGTTGACGGCCTGGGCCTTGCTGGACGTCCGGACGTCCAGGGCACGGATGGGGTGGCAGATGGCGACGTAGCGGTCCACGCTCATGGCGGTCAGCGTGAAGGTGCTGGTGAACATGTTGTAGTAGTCGATGGCGATGACGATCTTACACAGGGCGTTCCCGAACGGCCAGAAGCCCAGGAGCACGTCGGTGCCCTGGAAGGGCAGCGTCAGCAGGACCAAGGTGTCCGCCAGGGCCAGGTTAAAGATGTAGATGTTGGTGGCCGTCTTCATCTTGGTGTGTCTGCAGGGGGCACAGGGAGGGGACAAGCACGGCTCCATCCGGCCACTGGCTGGGCCCGGGAGGAGCACCCACTCTGGGGCCTTGGCTGAAAGGCAGGCCCCGGGGCACTGAGTCTGGGGAAAAACCATATGACGAGCCTCGGGTACTTCTGGCACAGGGGACGGGGCTCCTGGCCTCACGATCGGGCTGCTCTGGAGGAGGGGTGGGAGGCGGGGCCGAGCACACGCCGGCCTCTGTGAGCAGTGAAGGGCTGGCAGCTGGAAAAGAAGGAGCTCTGCCCCCTCCCTTCGAGTCTCCCCCAAAGCCTTTCACAGATTAAAGGCTGTCCCCACACGGCCCGATTCCCCAAGGGCCGTGGATCAGTCAGAAATGGTCACAGGCCTCCTGGATCACGCTGACATCCCACCATCACGTCGGGAAATGGTGCCGGTGATGGGCCGGGGGCGCTGACAAGGCCCGATTGTGTCCAAGCACCGGGAACGGGCTGGGGGTCATGGGCACTCGTTCCATCGGTCCTTGTGGAGTGAAGGACCAGTTGGGACAGTTGTGGTGGAGGGTGACGATGGTGGTGAGTGTGGTGACGGTGTTGGCAGCGGCAACACCAGAGGCGGGAATGTTCCGTGTTGGGCACATTGCTATGAGGGTTCTGCTTCCTCAAGGGAGATGAAGAACAAGCCCCAAAGCCTTAATTATGACCCAGTAACAGCAGCCACAGCGGTGCTGGTGGCGGGTCCCTGAGCCCAGCTCCTCACGTGGATTTGATCATATTTAAGTTTCCCAAAGTGCTGGGGGGTTTTGTTTTTAAGATTTTATTATTTATCTTTAGAGGGGAAGGGAAGGAGAGAGGGAGAGAAACATCAATGTATGGTTGTCTTTCATGTGTCCTCTGCTGGGAACTGGCCTGCAACCCAGGCATGTGCCCTGACTGGGAATCGAACCTCGATTGTTTGGTTCGCAGGCCTGTGCTCAATCCACTGAGCCACACCAGCCAGGGCCCGAAGTGCGTTTTGATCCCCACTCTATGCAGGGGAATATGCAAGGCCAGAGCTGGTGAACAGCAGAAGGTCAAGGAAACAAGAAAACCAGCAGAGAGGGAAAATTTGCCAAACACACACGTGGCCCAGCACTGGTACCCAGAACACAAAGAACTAACACTCAGTGGCGAGGAAGCGAACGACTGGGTGGAGAACGGGCTGACGCCTGAGCAGACGCTCGCCAAAGAGGACACGCAGGTGACAAATGAGCGAACCAGAAGACGTGCCCATCCCACGGCACCAGGGACGCGCAAACTAAACTCGACGCCACCGCACCCGTCGGAGTGGGCAGACCCCAGAGCACGGACGACACCCAGCGCCGGGGACGGGGAGCCCAGGGGACGCTGGGTCCCACTGGTGGGGAGCAGGTGGGCAGCAGGCGGGGCTTCGGAGCCGCTGTGGGAGGCAGCTGGGTGGTTTCCCACAAAACCCAACGGGTGACCCAGCGGCCACGCCCCTTGGTATTTACAGGAGGAGCCGGCAGCTCCGCCCACAGAACGTCCTGCATGTGGGTATTTACAGTAGTTTCATTCACAACTGCCAAACTTGGAAGCAACTAAGATGTCCTTCGGTGGGTGGATGGATAAAGCGCGGTCCATCCAGACAATAACACATTACTCAGCACTACAAAGAAATGAGCCATCAGCTCCCGAGAAGATGCAGAAGAACTTAAACGCACTGGACTGAGGAGAGACGCGGACCGAAGAGACCACACACTGTGGCTCCAGCCCTGGGACCTTCTGGGACGGGCTGAAGCGCGGAGACAGTGAGAGGCCAGGGCTGGCCAGGGATTCAGGGGCGGGGCGGGAGAGCAGGGGCGCACGGATTTTCAGGGCAGTGAAACTGCTCCATGTGACACCGTGATGGCGGACACGTGGCGTCACCCACAGAACGAGCCGCACCGAGAGCCACCCTGGTGCGGACTGTGGACACGGGGTGGTGACCGTGTACCAAACAGACTCATTAACTGTGAACCTCATGCTGCTCTGGTGGGGCCATCGGGGGCGGCGAGGGCAAGGTGTGTGAGGGGTGTGGGGGGTGCAGGAATCTGTGCTTCCTCTCGACTCGCTGTGACCCCGACACCACTCTAAAAAGGTGAAGGCCTTTAAAAAGAGACCGGCCTGGGCCCTGGCTAGTGTGACTGAGGGGTTTTGGTGCCGGCCTGCAAACCAGAAGGTTCCTAGTTCGATTCCCGGTCGGGGCACGTGCCTGGGTTGTGGACCAGGTCCCCAGTTCGGGTGACTGAGAGGCAATGGATCAATATATCTTGCACACTGATGTTTCTCTCCCTCTCTTTCTCCCTCCCTTCCTCTCTCTCTAAAAGTCAATGAAATATTCCAAAAAATAAAAATGAAAATGAAAAGAGACCAGCTTGGGACTGGGGCCAGTACAGGGGTGGGGGGAGGGGCAGCTGCTGCTCTCGTCACCTGGTCTGAGCTCGCACACCGTCCACACCAACGCACACCATGTACACGTGGGTAAACACTCACACATCATGCATGCCCTCAGTTACATGTGCACCCGTGTGCGCACTCAGGCATGTGCATGTGCACTTACACATGCATCTCCATACCAATGCATGCACACACCGGCACACACATCTACACTCTTGCATTTTGAGCATGTGTGAGAGCACATGTGTTGTGTGTGCACACAGATTGCACTGCGCTATGCACACTCACAGGTACACACTCCCCTGTACAGGTATGTGTTCCTGCATGTGTATCTGTGCACACAGGTGCACGTGTTCATGCATACATGTGTGTGCATGTGTGTCTTGTGCATGTCCCCTCTGTGTCCCTCCACACTGTTCCCACATACTCTGCTCACGCCAGCCCCCACACTGTCCCTCTGGTGCGTGGGGACCTCGAAGCCCAATGCCAGCTGTGAAGGAGCCTAAGCCTGGACTGGCAGGAGCTGCCTCTTGGGGTCCCTGTAGGGCCCGTATGAGCCTCCCGCAGCAGCCCAGCTAGTAGCCTGGTCCACAGCTCAGACCAGGGGGCATCCTGGGTCAGGAGTCAGGGTGACGCTCCACCTGGGGCACAGCAGGGCTGGCCCCATCCCCTCTCTCTCCCTGTAGTCTGATGCCCCCGCCCTGAGGAGCTAAGAGTCAGAGCCTCAGGACGAACCCCACCCCCTGACAGGACAACTGACTGCCTGCCCAACTCACCCAGAACAACCCCACCTCAGTTTCCCCTCTGCAGTGGCAAGGAACTCACCCGTCGGGGCTTTTCCAGGGCCCAGCTTACCTGAGGATGACATACATGACCAGGCAGTTCCCCAGCAGCCCCCCGATGCAAACGGCCAGGTAGAGTCCCACAATGGTGACCTTGAGCCCAAGGGGCAGGAAGGCGCCATGGCTGACATTGAGCAGCAGGTCAGCGGGCAGCAGGCTGTGGTTGGGGCTGGAGAGGTTGTCCTGCAGGGCGCTGCCGTAGGCACCCCAGGGTGGGGTGGGGAAGAGACAGTCCATGCTGCCACCCTGCGTGCACAGCCACTCGGCACCTGAGAGGGCACGGGGCGTGTGACCACAGCGCCCAACCCCCAGCCGAGGTCTCCGGGTGGGTGCACAGCCCTGCGAGCACCCAGGGTCCCAGAAGCACCTGCACACACAGGGACACACGGAGGCATGCAGACGTGAAGTGCTCACAGGGGCACACACTGAGCACACGTGCACGCACATAGAGCATTTGTGCACACGCAGGGCCACACAGAGAACATGTGTGCATGTGTGGAGGCACGCACGGAGCACGTGTGCACATGCAGGGGCACCCACTCCCACGTGGCGTGTGTGTGTGCAGACACATGCTGGAACATGTGTCCACCCACAGGCACTGGAGCACATGCAGCGGCCCGTGTGTTCACAGGCACAGGACACAAGCGTGTGCACACACACAGATGCCCAGACCTGCCTGCACGCACACACAGGCACAAAAGGTGCCGAGACGTGCCCAGAAATACCTGGGTGGCAGGTGCCCAGAAATACCTGGGTGGCAGGGCACCAGGCAGGCGAGCTCAGCCTCCTCCTTCCCCTCCCTGCGAGCCGCAGGCTGGCTGCAGCTCACCCCCACACCTGCCCCCCCACACACACAGCTCAGGCCTCACCTGGGTGGCTCCGGGGCAGCTGGGGCTGTGGAGACCCTAACCCAGGAGCAGAGCAGGCTGGGAGCCCCTGCCCCACGCCAGCACCGGGTCCGGATGGGTCTGCAGCAGCCGCGCGCAGTGGCAGCTGCTCCTCAGTAGACGCCAGACGAGACGCAGCAGCCTGGCGCACAGAGCGGGGGAGGGGCGCGGGCTGCAGCTCCGGAGGGGGAGGGGCCTTGCGGGTGGGAGGAGGGGCCGCAGGGCAGGGGGCTCACCAGGCCCCACCCTGGCTGGGACAGACACGAGGACCAGGGCACCAGGCGAGAGGTGAATGACAGACAGACTGAGACCCTCAGAGCCCAGACAGAGACCGGCCCAGACACAGACGCAGGAACGCAAGACCTGTGGACGGACACAGGCAAGGACTCACGGGGACTGAGGGACAGACACATGGGGACAGGGCACAGAGAAATGGGGGATGCACAGGCAAACACAGCCTGGGACACGGACGTGGGGCAGTCTCACCCTCAGAGGTGGCCTTGGACAGACTCAGACCAGCCCTGCCAGACGCTGAGCCACAGCGGGCCAGCAGGGGTGGCACAAGCAGTGTCCCTGCCTGGCTGGCCGGGAGGGGCCAGAGTCTTGCTGTCAGCAGGCAGGATCCCTGGACTCGGCTGTACCTACAGGGCACCTAGTGCCCTGCGTACCTACTAGGTGCCCACACACCTGCTGTGCCCACACCAGGAACAAGCATGAGCTCATCTGTCTGCACCACACCTGGGCCAGTGTGCCACCTTTGTGCAGACAGTGTGTTCAGGCTCAGGGGCACAAGGCCACTTGTCAGAGTGGCAGGCACAGGTTTGAACCCAGGTCTGTCACTTCGAGACACCTGAGGGGGCCTGTCCCACAGTGGGGCCCCAGAGTAACGCCTGCACATCATTCCTCACAGCCTGGGCCCTCAGCACCTTCACAGCGGAACCTCCCCCAAGGAGAGGGTCCTGCTCCCACTGGGGTCACATGCCGTGGGGGGCGCCCCCCCAGCGGAGTCGGCAGCCCCTGTGCAGCCAGAGGTAGTTCTCCCTGCCTCTGCCCACACATCGCAGACCCTGCTTTGAGCACTGTCTCCAAGGATGGGGCCTGGTTGCTAGGTGACGGACACAACGTCGCTAGGATACCTGCGAATCAGGAGAGGACAGAGCAGGCAGATGCCCCAGGACTCAGCCTCCAAAGCTGTCCCCCAGGACTTTTCTCTGCATCTTCGTGGCAGCTGACTCGGGAACACGTGTGTGGACATGGTATATGTCTACAGAGACACAGGGATGCACAGGCTCGCATGCCTGTGAACAGATGCCCAGAGAGGCACATGGCAAAACACACAGACACGGGCACATTCGCAGGGACACACATACACACGTGTCACACATGTGCAAGCACAGGAGGCGCACAAGCGGACAGGGGAGAACAGGCGAGCACAGAGGTCGAGGCCCTCGGCCCCTGGGCCCACGCACGCACCACCGTCTCCAGGAGGAGCTTGAAGCTTGGCCCCACCGCCCTCTGGAAGCCGAGAGGCTGGCCCCCGAGGTGGCCCCCTGGCAGCCAACCCCAGTCGCTCCTGCCCCCAGGGAGTCTCTGTGCAAATGCCCCGGGGCGTCTGGAGGCTGGACAGCCCCTCTGTGGAACCTGGGGTCGGGACCGGTGCAGGAATCTGGGGGCAGTCACCGGGAGGCCAGAGCGAGCTTCCAAAACCCACTGGAACAGTCTGCAGACCCCCACAGAGAGGCCAGAGCCTCAGCTGAGACCCCTCTCCAGAGCCAGGACAGTGCCCACTCAGGGGCTCAATCCCTGAACTCCCCAAAAGGCCCCACCCAGGCCCCCAGCGCCCACACTGCCCTCAGGACACACCCCTGAGTGAAGGGGGCAGTGACGCAGCTCTGCAGAAGCCACCCCCACGGGCAGATCGTCAGCCGACGTGTACGGTGGGCCCCACGTGAGCTGTGGGATGAGCACGTGAGTCTAGGACAGACTGCGGCCACAGGCGTGAATTGCAGAAGAGGTGAGACGTGGAATGGCTGTTGAATAGCATGGGATTGGCAGGAACACAGGGCCCAGAGGGTTAGGGTTCAGCAAGCCCCCCGGGGGGGTCTGGTCCCGTGGGAGCCCTGGGAGCCCCACCTTGCCCTGGAAGAGGACAGCAGTGGCCTCAGTTCCCGGGTCTGTGAACACCCGCGGCTGTGGGGCAGGTCCTACAGAGGGAAAGGGCCTCGCACGAAAGTCTCAGCGCTGCTCCCAGTGCGTTCAAACGCAGCCGCCAATGACCTTGCCTGCCAGGAAGCTGGGCGCAGAGGCCCCGGAACAGTGTGTTTGGGGCTCCCAGAAAGGAAAGAAAGCACACTGGGGCTGGAAAAGCTGGTGGTCGGCACCCCCAGGGTCTTCCACCGGTTGGGGCCGCTGCGGGCTCCTTGTCCTGGGCTGACAGCGGTCCCGCGGCCCGGGTTGTGCCCAGGCTGCGAGAGTGGCCGCCCCGCCCTCGCCGGGTTGGGGGGGCGGGGCTCCCGGTTGCCGGGCAACCGTGTCAACGGTTCCCAGAAAGCAGGGGCTTTGTTGGAGGCTCAGACCCCAGAAGGCAGAAAGTATGGGGCGTGGGAGGGCAGGGGGCAGGACCTGAACCCCTGTGCGCTGAACCTGGGCCCTCGAGGTATTTCCCTTTACCCCGCTTGACCCCCTGAGGAGGGATCTGTTCGCCCTTCCTCCCCCTGGACCAGAGTGGGGTCCGGACAGGGAGGACGGGGTCTCCTCTGAAGAGGCCAGCTGTCCGCTTGGCTCTGAGCCTCTGGGGGTCCAATGCGGTGGGGACTTGCTGACTGACCAGTGACCACAGACCCAGGGAGCAGGGGCACAGCGGGGGTCCCGGCGCTGTGGGCGGGTCTGCTGAGCTCCAAGAGCGGCCTTCTCCGGTCTCCAGCCCCAGGCGTGGGGCCTGCGGTCCACTCAGGGGTCTCAGCGTTTTCTCGGTGGACACAGAGACAGCCCGTGGGCAGGAAGGGAAGTTCCTGAAACTCCGAGGCGCAGGAAGCTCCAGCAGGCTGCGGAGCTGAGGATGGGACCTCAGGGGGCTGTGGGGCTTCTTGACACGCCAAGCCAGACCAGAGGGGTGGACACCTGCCCATGCCTTCGGGCACCATTCGGGCACTAACGAGGGGACGCCCTCTTCCCTTGCCAAGGCGGAGGATGCAGCCCTCGCCCGCTCCAAAGGAGGCCGAGCACAGAGCCCCGCAGGAGCCAGCAGTGAAGGACACTCAGGGCGCAGGGTCCCCTGAGAAGCGCGCCAAGGGGGCACCCGCAAGGGAGCGCCCCAAGCCAGGCTGGGCCCTGTCGGAGGAGGCGCTCGCAGCCATGCGCCCCGCGCAGTGCCGCCGCCACCTGCTCTTCGGCGACTTGCTGGAGGACGTGGGCACGGCCCCCTCCATTCTCCCGCGCGAGTCTGCAGAGCTGGGGTACGGCATGCCGGACCCACTGGCGTGGAGGCAGTCAGTCGAGCCGCCAGCGGCGCGCCAGGACCGGCTGCTCGGCGTCCTCAAGGCAGCCGAGGCCCGCGGACGACTCCGCGCCTTGCGGCTGCGCTACACCCGCCTGCGGGTGAGCTGAGGGTGCCGGAGGCTGGGGGTGGGGGCGGGGGCGCGCAGCAGGCCTACGGGGGAGACTTGCAGAAGAAAGGGGGTGGGGACCGGCTGGAGCCCCAACGGGAGGGGCGGGGCGGGAAGGGCTGGGTGCTGGGCGCTGAGAGCAGGGCGGGACAGACTTCTGCTAGGCTCAGAAAGACCCCCACACCCCACCCGGACCCACAGGCGGAGGAGATCTCGCTGCTCATCCATCAGCAGAAGTCCGCTCGCGCCGCCATCCGGCTGGAGATGTTCCTGCCTCCGCATCTGAAGCCCACACGCATCCCGGACCCCCTGGACCGCCAAGAGGTGCCTGCAAGCCCGGGCAGGGGGAGGAAAGGGGGTCCCTCCCGCCTCCCCGCGCACCTGGCCCCAGCCCCTCTCCTCTGCAGCGGAGGCGCGTGGAGACCATCCTGGAGGAGAAAATCGATGGCAGCAATCTCTTCGGTTACATCGACCGCTTGTTGCGCGACCCTCCCCCATAAAGTTCTCACTCTCCAAGTGCCTGCTGGTCTTTACGCTCCGCTCTGGGTCTGCCTGGAGGGAAGGGTGGGTAAGGGTGCTGCCTCTCGGGCATAGGAAGTCATAGGCAGGGGGGCTCCTCCACCGAAGCAGGAAGCTGCCAGTGGTGGGTGTCAGATTAACAGGGCACAGGGACACCCTGAACCCCTCAGATCTGGGACTGCCCCCACCAGGCAGCCTCTGCCCTGTGAGTCCATAGGGGCCAGGACAGGCCCCTACAAAGACAGCACCTGACCCATGTCACACAGGTGAGGGGGGACCCGGAGAGGGGGGAGAAGAACCTGGCTCAGCACTTGCCACAGCCAGGGTGTCAGGACAGCCTCAGGGAAAGGTGCCTCCCAAGAAGGACCCTGGCCTGCAGGTCATCCTGCCAGAGGCTCCAAGAGGGAAGTGGTGTTCTGGTCAGGGGAAGGGACAGCACAGGCCAAGGACTGGTCTTTGGAGAGTCGGCTGGCCGGGCTGCGGGGTCCTCCAGAGAACTAGAGGCTGGGGAAGGGGCGGCTCCTGAAAGGAGGCCCCTGCTGCCCTCTGAGGGCCACCTCTGCCCCACTCCATCCCCCTTACCAGTGACCCCCCCCCCACGCACCCAGGAGGAAGGAAACTACCCCTACCCCCCTTCGGAAAAACCCACTTCCTGCAAAGCTTCTGGATCCAGAAGAGCCTGCAGTTCCTTGACAGACCTTCGAGAAGACGCTTGCTGCTTGCTGAGCCTGGGTGCACCTCAGCTACCCCTCCCAGCCCTGACCAGCAGGCTGCAGTGGGGGCTGCAGGGACTCAGACAAGCCCCATGCAGCCAAAGGTTCCTGCCGAGTGGGCTGAGGAGAAGCCCAGAGAACGGGCTGGAGGGGCACATTCTCTACCCCCCGACATCAGAGCTGGAGTCTGGCAAGGAATCCTGCTCAGTGGCAGTCCCTGCCCCCTACCCCAACCCAGCTCAGGGTGGGGACAGCCGCAGGGGCCCCTCAGCCAGCCCTTCTCCCACTATGATGGCCCTGCTCTCTCTCTGGGCGACTGCTGCCTGTGGCCTTGACCACACCCAGATGTGGCCTTGAACTGTGTGGGTCTGGCAGCTCCAGGAGGGTGGGAGGTCTGCAGGCGGTGCTGGTGGCAGGGAGGTCACCAGGTAGAGGAAGGGGGTGGTGGCTTGGGCCAGGGGCAGAGAGCCAGACCAGGGGGCAGCCTCTGTCCGGAGGGGGTGGCCACTGCTACCTTGACGTGCCCTGAGCGACAGCCAGCCCTGGCCCCGCTGGCCACGCTCCCTGCAGCCTGGCCCCCATGCTCTGCCTCAGGGATGACTTCACCTGTTTAGTGAAAGCATGTTTCATTTCCTTACTTCTCTGAGCCTCCATTTCTTCTCGTCTCTGAAATGGAGTCTCAAGGGTGTCCCCTTGGCACCTGGTCCCACACAGTGATCACTCCGTAAGGGAGGGGTCACATGCATGAGGCAGTCCCCTGAGGACAGAGGGACGAGACAGGCACGAAGCCCCAAGAAGACCAGCAAGAAGGTGGCCCCACAGATGGCTGGCACACGGGGCACCCCTTGGTTCACATGCCAGGGAGGGGACCCTAGTTTTGCAGTGGAGACCAAGGACAGTGGCCAAGGAAAAGTGATGGGGCCTGGAGGCAGCTGCCGCTGTTCGAGAGCTGAGAACATGGGCCAAGGCTCAGTGGGTGGGGGTCAGTGGTGTCCCTGGGTCAGCAAGCTCATGCTCTGCACAGAGGATCCTGGGTTCAAGTCCCCCCTGCACCATTACCTGCTGCATGGCCTCCCCCAGCCCGCCCGAGATCCTCCTGTGGACAGGAGCACTCCACAGAGACAGTCCCCAGGGGAGGAGCAAGAGACCCGACGGGCAGAAGCGAGGGGATTGGAGAGCAGGCCCAAGTGGCCAGAGAATGTGAAGGCCCGAGGTGGGAGAAGCGTGTAGACCCCCCCCCCCACAGTGGGCGGCCCCACACGTTTCTTAGGAGGTGGGGAGAGACACCACACCAGGGGACCAGCTTACCTGTGTGGCCTGGGTCAGGTGCTGGCCTACCTTTGTAGGAACTACTTCTGAGGACTGTTACCAGGGCTAAAGAGAAAGCAGTCACCTCCTCTGCAGACTGGCATCCAGCCTCCGCCCTGTCCTGGCCAGCCTGTCCACATAGTGGCCGCATCCCCTGGGCCCACAGCATCAAGAGGGACCCCAGCCCCAGGGTCCTGTCACTTCTGGTGACCTGTGCGACTGGGAGTCACTTTGTGAGCAGGACCCGGCATCCGGAGCTGACCAGGCTGAGTGCCTGCTTGGGGGATGGGAGCTGTCCCCAGTCTGAGAGACCAGGCAGGCAACCTCCAGACCACCATTAGGGCCACGGTGACACTGTCTGAAGCCAGTTGGAGAAGGAATCAAACCGACGGCTGTGCCAGGTCATGAAATGGGAGGCGAGCCTGCCTGACAGTAGGGGCAGGACACTGGTGGCAAAGGGGAGGATGTGCCTTTAAACTGTAGGACCCCTTGGGGCAACGGAAGGACTCAGGCCCCCAGGGACAGGGACATTTGTTGGCTTCAGATGCAATAAGTCACTCCCACTCCCACGGCATCCACCGCTCCGCAGCCTGGGACCCCTGCCCCTCCTTTGGTGAGCCCCCCGCAGCACGGAGACAGCGCACTCCTAACCCCAGTGGAAAGGCGAGGGCACCCGGCCTTGGAGACGCCGGGCGCAGCAACCCTGGGGCAGCCCTCTCCCCCAGCCTCTCCTTATTCAAGCGTGGCAAGTAGCACACGGAGACGCAGGAGTCTTGAGGGCTCTTGTGCCCGACACTGGACCACCGTATGAATGGCAAAGCCAGAACGGCCTAGGCTGGGCACTGCCTGCGGGGGGGCGCGGCAACACCCCCAGCTGCTCCAGAGCTCACTCAGGCCGCCCTGGGGCCAGAGGCCCCAGCAGTAGCACCTCGTCTTCCGCGGCCAGCCTAAGCGACAGTGGGGACCGAGGCGCCGGGCGGAACCGGGCCGGGTGGTGGGGAAGGGGCGGGTGGGGCGCAGAGCCGGCCGAGAGCGGGGCGGGGCGCGCAGGGCGGGGCGGGCCGGGCGCCTCCCGGCGCGAGGAAGTCCCAGCCCAGCGCTTTGGGGAAGTGCGGCTCAGGCGCCTGCGCACACCACCCTGCGCCCCGGCCGCGACGATCCGGCCGGACCTCGGAGCGAGGGCCCCGCGCGCAAGCAGCTCGGGGACGCGGCTGCGGCCGGTGAGTGCGCGCGCGCGCGGCGCCGAGGACCGCGGCCCTGGCCCGCCCGGCCCGGGGAGGTGCGGGGCGGGAGCCTCAGGAACAGACTCCGGGATCCGCACCCCAAGAACTCCCGCCGTGGGGGTCCACGTGGACCCTGGGCCGCCAGGGGACTGGAGCCTGCCCCCGCCCGCGCGTGGGGGAAGGGGCGCTGCAACGGGGTTCCCCTTTTCTGCAGCTCAGAGCCTGGGGAAGTGATTGCTCAAAGGGGGGGGCCGGAAGAACTCAGGTTTCCGCGTCTCCCGCCCCCCTCAGCCCGGTGGGGAGGGGCCGAAGCGGGACACCCGGTCCGCCGCGCTCCGTTGGATGCGGCAGCCTCTCAGCCCTGCGAGTAGTAGGGGAGGCGCTGCGACCCCCGCCCCCGCGGATCGGACCGGCGCCAGCCTCCCAAGCCGCGGGAGAACCTCCTGCCGTCTGACTGGAGTCCCCGCTGCTGCAGTGCACGCCCCTTCGGCAACCAGGGTGGGGCCCCCACCGAACCTGGCCCCTCCTGCCCCCACCTCGCCTTTGGGTCGCTGGTGAGTGGGGCGCCACAGCGAGTTGCTTGAGGTAGTTGCTGGGGGTATCAGAGACTGGAGAAAAGGGTCACTGAAAAAGGAGGCAAACTCCTCCAGGCCAGAACCTAGCAGCAAAAAGGGAGCGAGAAATGATCCACCCCCATCATTGCAAAGGTGAGCTGGGGGCCAGAGCGCCGAGGTTAAGAAAACTGGCCTGCCTTGGAGGAGCCAGGCCGGGACTCAGCCAACAGCCAAATGGGGGGCGGGGACCCCAAACAAGAAAGGTACTCATTAGGGTCAGGAGGGAACAGCCCCTCTGTCAACCCCCACCCCCAAAGGCCCCGCATTTTCTCCCTGGGATGACCACACATTCTCATTCTTTTTTTGGAGCAGGCGGGCTGGGGACGTTCTTTTCCTTCTGTGGAACAGCAGTGGCTCCCTCGGGAGTCTGAGTCCCCAGAGGCTGGGCTTTCTGCCTGTGGAGCCTCTTTCATCCCAGACTAGGGGGTGGCCAAGTGTGGGGCTGGGGAAGAGGAAGAAGGCCCCTCCAAACACAGGGATGGGGGCAGGAACCCCAGTTCACACCCTGCACCCACCCCGGAGAAGCAGCCATTGCCCTGGGGGCACAGGTGGCCCCGGCTGGCCTGAAAAGGGTGTGGTGAGTCAGGTCCAGGGCCTGTGACCTGGACAGTGGGGACTGGTCCCCCCTCTGCCCCAAACCTGGCCCCAAGCGTCCGGGCTTTGCCCCCTCAGACAGGGCCCTGCACTGCAGGGGAAAGTTGGCGACGGCAGCCAAGGCGGGTACAGTCTTCAGGTGCTGGGGGGGGGGGGGCAGGACTGGGTCCCTGCCCCCTCTCACAGCAGGGGTGCAGAGGAGGAAGAACTGCTCTGCCTGGGGAAGTCACAACAGTCTAGGGCACAGCTACAGACCTCAGAGACTGCCACACCCCTTCCTTTCCCTAGAAACTTGACCCCTGAGGGAAGGCTGTGGGCTGCTGCTTCCCCATCTGCCTGACTGAGCCCGTGGGACCAAGTTTGGGGCCCCACTCTGATCTCAAGGTGGTAAAGGGCTGGGGTCCCAGGGACCCCACATTTGGGTCAGGGCAGAGGCCACATCCCTGTGTCCAGGCCCCGGAGCCCTAAATGTGACTTGCTCTGGTTCTGTCACCTCCACCGGGACCTGCACAGTCTGTCTGGCATCCACCCTCACTTCCTCGGAGACCTTCAGGCCGACATGGACCGAAAAGGATTAGAAAACTCAGGGATGAGAAAATAGAATGAAACCAAGCTGTGAGCTTCCTGTTGTCGGAGGCAGGCGGCCGGGCTCAGGGAGGTGTGCGTGGCAGCTGTGCGGGGCCTCCCCGGGCCCCGTCAGCCCTCAGCTGGGCGGAAGTGGGCGCAAGCGAGGGCGGCGGTGAGCAGGCGGTCAAAACTGCCTCCAGGACACTGCCTGCCCTGCGCTGCCGCCCTGGGACTCAGGAACTGCCGTGGGGCTGACAGGGGGCACCGGCTGGGGACGGGGGCTCGCCCACTCGCGCCTCTAGCGCCCCCGTGTGCCTCGGCTGTGGAAGGTGAAGGTGTGGCGCAGATGCTGAGAAGGACGCACCCCTCACCGCCCCTGGGCACCCTGCAGTTCCCTCCCTACCCGGGAGCAGGACTCCCCCAGTGGCGTGGCGTGCCCACTCTCTGGCAAGGCAGCAGCTTCCACAGCCTGGTGGGGGAAGGGAGGGCGGGAGACCAGGCGGGAGACCAGCCAGCCGGGGTCAGGGCTCCTGGGAACCGCACCTAGGGCTGCGGGGATGAGGGGGACGCATAGGCTTTTGGGAGGCTCCTGGCCCTCCTCACCCGTGGGCTGCACGTCCCACACCCTTAGGAGGCCCTGCTCCTTTCCCTGCCTCCAAACCCCCTGGGCTGCAGGCACAGTGAACGGTCCAGGTGCTCCAGGGCCCACAGGCAGATCTGGCTCCCTCCTGGTGGCAGCGGCCCTCCCCACGCTGTCCCCTGACACCTGCAGAAAGTCCGGCACGGAGAGAGCTGGGGTGGGGAGTTCTGAATGTGTGACCACCAGCCCTATACTCCAAACTGACAGCCACAGACACTTGGGGCCCCCAGGTCCCCTGGGAGGGGCCAGGAGCCGGAAACCAAGAAAGAGGAACCCAGGCTTCCGGCTTCCCAGGGACCGAGCAGATGGGGCTGTCCCAGAATCTCCCATAGATTTCTTGTCTGGGACCCCTCCTCACTGGCCGTGTACCCTTCGTGGCCCCGGTGTAGGCTGTGGTGCAGGTGCAAGCAAGGCAGTGGGCACCCTCAGGACCCCTGGGAGGCTGCATCCAGGGGCTAGGGTCTTGGGTCCTCTGAGAAACTGGGCCTCTCTCCTTAGACTCGAAGGCTGCGGTGAGGTTCCGGAGCCAGCACCACGGAGCCCCGGCGACCACCTCCACCCACCCATGCCCACCGCGCATGAGGCTGACAAGCAGGTGTGCATTCTGCCCTGGGGACAACTAGGAGCCGAGGGCCCCTCCAGCACTTGAGCGACCAGGAGCACTCTGCCCTTGGGAGCAGGTCACCAGCAGGCAGCCCCTGGGGAGAGGCGGGTGGGCCCTTGGTGTGGCCGGTGGTGAAGCCGCCCCTCTCTCCCCAGCACACAGGGCCAGAGGAGGCGGACCGGGCGCCCTCCATGTCCAGTCATGATGCAGTGCCCCCGGCTGCCCCTGGCCGCAGCCCCTGCTGCTTGTGCTGGTGCTGCTGCTGCAGCTGTTCCTGGTAAGTGGGGGGTGGGGGGCCGAGCATCCTGCGCCCTGACCCTCGGGTGGCCTCTGAGGTGTCCCCTGTGAGCAGGGCGCCCCTGCCACGCCCCACGCTGTCCAGGGACTATGGGGCTCTGGTGGCCGTGGCCAGACCCAGGTTTGGCCTTCTGCCTACAGTGCAGCACCGGCCCGCCCCGTGCGCGCGCCTCTGCCCCTTTGCCCAGCACAGGCTTGCTGATGCCTGTCCTGCCGGCCCTGGGGACCCTACTGTCAGGTGGAGGGGTGTAGAACAGAGACTGCCCGGGGACGAGGGGGGACAAGCCTCCAGAGCAGCCTGCTGGAGCAGGCGTGGGGCCTCCAGGGGCTCCCAGGGTCCCGGGTGTCTAGGGAGCTGCCGCAGCTTCTGTGCCTTTTGGAGGTCTCAATGGCCCTGTGGGGGCCCACAGGAGGACTGGGCGACCGGAGACAGGAGAGGGGTGTCCTGGGGGGTGAGCAGTGTGAAGGTCTGGGAGTTCCTTTTGGAAGCCAAGGGAGGCTCTGGGTTTGGGCAGGCTGTGTGGGCAGGTGGGTGTGAGGGGCCTGTCGGCCATCAGCGCGGCCCTGGAGAGAGGTGTGTTTGTAGGTATGGGTCCGGAGCCTGCCTGACACGGTGCCCCGGGAGAGGGGGTGAGGTCAGGCGGGGGTGCACTGGCAGCCCGCAAAGGTACCGAAGGCAGGAGGACAGCAGAGTCCTGGGTCAAAGGCAGCTGAAGTGGCCTTGGCCCCCAGGCCGGGACGCAAGGAAGGGGAGGAGCAGGACCGGGGCTGGGCTGTCACCTGCAGCAGGCTCCTGCGTGAGACAGCCCCAGGCCCCGTGTCCACACCTGTGCTGAGCACCCTGCACTCACGCGGGGCCCGTGTGTCTGCCGTCAGGAATGAAGGGCAGCGGCGGGCATGGCGGGCCCCTGGGGACAGCAAGCTGCAGGCCCTCCCCGGCTGTGAAGCCTGGTGAGTCTGGGCCGGGTGGGGCCTCGGGCTGGGGACTGGGGGGCTGGGGCGTGTGCCTGACCTGCTGGCGGTGCCCCGGCAGCGCACCGAGCCTCGAGGAGGTGCAGAGCTGGGCACAGTCCTTCGACAAGCTGATGCACAGCCCCGCGGGGCGTAGCGCCTTCCGGGCCTTCCTGCGCACCGAGTACAGCGAGGAGAACATGCTCTTCTGGCTGGCCTGCGAGGAGCTCAAGGCCGAGGCCGACCAGCACGTGGTGGATGAGAAGGCACGGCTCATCTATGAGGACTACGTGTCCATCCTGTCCCCCAGGGAGGTGAGCCTCGACTCCCGCGTCCGGGAGGGCATCAACAAGAAGATGCAGGAGCCGTCCGCGCACACCTTCGACGACGCGCAGCTGCAGATCTACACGCTCATGCACCGGGACTCCTACCCCCGCTTCCTCGGCTCCCCCGCCTACCGCGCCCTGCTGCTCCAGGCCAGCGCCCAGTCCTCCCCCGAGGAGGCCTAGACTGCCCCCCTCTGGGCAGAGACTCAGGTCACCTTCCCCATGTGGGGCAGCTGGTGTCACCCAGCACCCTGGGGGCCGTCCCAGCCCCGAGCGGTGGGGGAGGCCAGGAGCCCTCCCCACCAGGGGACCCCGTGCCCCGAGGGCCTGCTCACAGGCAGGTGTGCCGGCCAGCGAGGCTCCTGCCTGGTGAGAGGAAGACCCTGCTGGGAGCGTGGACCCTCTGGCCTCCCCACGCAGCTGGGGGCCTGAGAGAGCAGGACGGGACCCTCCGACTCGGGCTGTGATGCCCAGAACCAGACGCAGAGCCTCTGCACCCGGCTTTGGGGACAAGGCCGGTGTCTCTGTTACACGTCTGTTAACTGTAAACCGGGAAACGCATCCTCATGTGTTTCATCAAAAAAAGCCTCAGTTCATCTCCGCACCCCCTCCCCAGAGTGGGCTGTCTCGTCGAAGAGGTCTGAGAGCCACCTCTCCTTGAGTGGGAGCGGCTGGGCTTGGAGGAGGCCCACTCGTGCACTCTGCCCCATGCACCCCCCCCCCCAGCAGGGCCCTGCAAGGGAGGGGCCAGGACTAGCCGTGCAGTGAGCAGCAGTGTCCAGGTCTTAGGTGGGCCAGGTCCCAGACCTGTCAAAGGTCGTCCCTAGAAGCAGGCCCCAGGCCTGCGCTGGCCACCATGACCCCAGAATTCCCAGGGCACAGTATGACTGCACCAAGAGGGTCCAGCCCCACCTTTTTGCCTCCCCCAGAAACAGGGCCGGGGGACCAGCACTGGGAGGGGACCCTGGTCCTCTGCACTTAGGCCCCCTCCCACCCAATCCCTCTAGCATGTGCCACCAAGGCTACACCCGAGTGTGACCAAACCCCAGGAACGCTGTGTGTGGCCCACTAGGGCCAAAGGCCACAGAGAGCACAGTGGCAAAAAGAAACATTTAATAATTTGGGGAGAGGGAGAAAGGTGTGCTGCAGGTGAGGGCACGAAGCAGGTCTCAGAGGAGCCGTGGTGGCAGGAGGCTGGGAGGGTGGAGGGCTGCTGCCGGCGCACCTTCGTGAGGCTCAGCAGAACTACAGGGGGTAGGGCAGGGGGCACAGGCGTCTGTCCCCTCAGGTCAATGACTGTGACCACGCATGGCAGGAGGCAGGGGAGGGGTCCCACCACCCTCCCCAGGGCTCCCAGGAGGCTAGTTGGGTGGGGCTGCCCCCCACCACACACCACGCAGGCCCCACTGGGCTGCAGACCCAACCTGAGGGCCGGGGTACCGGGCTCAGCCACCTACCTTCCAGCGGTTCCCACACTCGTTGCAGACGACGAACGTGGTCATGGGCTCGTCGGAGCTGCGGGTCTGCACCTGTGGGAGGGCAGGCAGCAGGTCTCCCCTAGAGTCAAAATCAGGGCCACCCAGGCCCACCTCACAGCCCCGGGCCCCTGAGGGTGACCCTCCCAGTGGCCCCGACCGCTCCCCTCTTGCCAGGGTCACAGTGCGGCTGTGCACCCACTGCCAGGTGGCACGGCACAACCTCCCAGCAGCAACAGTCCTCGGGCCCCTCTGTGCTGGGCGGCCAGGTCCCCCAACTCGCTGTCCACAGTAAGTGGCCCTCCCCCCAGGGATGCTGCCTGCTGGGGACCAGGGGCCCTGGGCAACCATCCCTCCCAGGCTTGGGCCCCGGCACCACTCACACTGGCCACCCAGGCTGAGGGTGTGGGTGCTGCCCACCCGCGGGCCTGGGCCTGCAGTCACTGGGCAAGAGTGGCAGGGGCACACCTGCGTGTAGGTGCAGCTCTTCTTCCTGCACTTGCCACAGGTGAACAGGTCGGTCTGAGTGCCACCTGTGCGGGCCATCTGGTGCTCGCGGATGGCCTCCTTGGTCATGGCCTTGCGGATCTCCTTCAGCTCGTCACTGGCCATCTCCTGTGGGGGGCCGAGCACTCAGGGTGGCCCGTGGGGCCCCGCCCACCCGCAGCCTGGACACTCACCTCGGACGTCATCACGGCGATCTGCTGGGGTGTGATGGAACCGCACAGCACGTTCCGCCGCAGGTCCGGGTTCTTGGCATCCTTGAGGTTGGAGATGCGGCTCCGAACTCGGTTCTTGTACTTCATGTCCGTGTTCCCCACGTCCCGGAAGATGCGTGTGGGTGTTTAAGGACCTTTGTAGGCAAGGCCACTGCCCTCCACCCACCCTTCCGGCCAGTGGGGGACTCCCGCATGGGCTGCCAGGGTGGGGGCTGGGCTGGGAAGAGGAGCTTAGCACCTCAGGGTCAGTCTGCCTACCCAGGCCTGGCAGTGAGGTGAGGACCTGCTGGGCGCTCCCCTGCCCCTGCTGGACACAGTCCAGGCTCCAGGGCCCAGGGACGTCGGGCTGCCGACAGGCAGCATCAGCCCTTGGCAGGCCCGGGGGAGCCCATGCCACCACCCAGCAGTCTGGCAAAGGCGCCAGGGCAGAGCTGGGCCTGGCTGGCCTGGGCACCCCACCTGAAGCCCCCAGCCTCGGAGCCCCGTGCAAAGGATATACTCCTCAATCTGGGCCGACAGGCGCTCGCAGTCCGCACTGGTGGCCATGTGGTCACCTGCAAGAGGCATCTCTGACCAGCCGCTCTGCTGGCTCTGCCTGCCACTTCTCAGCCCACCCAGCACCAGGGTGGCCACGGTGGGTGGGGGGACAGGGCGCTCACTGTCCGTCTGCAAGGCGGCTGTGAGCATCTCCCGACACTTGTTCCTCACAGCGTCACAGGTGACCGGCACCGGGGGAAACGTGGTCATCCTCGGGGCTGACAGCATCCGGGGCAGCTCTGGCCTCTTGCGGCTGGAGAGACAGGCCCGTTGGGGCCACAGGAACCCATGGGACACCTGTCCCCACAAAATCCAACATCACAGCCGTCCCCTAAGTCCTATCTGCTCCACCCTGAGAGCGGCCCGTGACCCCGTGCAGCTGCAGTCCAGCCTAGCCTGTCCGTGGGTCTTCCCTGCCGGCAGGAGGCAGTGAGGCTGGAGGTATCAAGGCCGGAGGCAGCAAGGCCGGCTAAGAAGGAACCCCACCCCCCACCCCCAACTGGGGCACAATGGGGACAGCATCGCCCTGGGGGGGGGGGGCAGACCAAGGGGCCATACCACCAACACCAGCTCCTGGGTTGGTTGGCATGAGGCAAGTGGGGTGAGGAGTCAGTTGCCCAAAGCCAAGTCCACCCGCCACAGTACAGCTGCCCCCGCCCCAGGCTGCCTGCCGTCCAGGCTACATCCACCAGCCCTCCCCTCAGGCCCTGCTTCTCATGCACCTGTGGCCCCGAGGGAGGAGGGAGAGGCCAGCCGCAACGATGCCAGTTCAAGGGTCAAGGGTGTGCAACCTGAGCTGGCCATTGAGCACCGGGCTGAGGGCTCCCACAGGCCCGGCAGGGTGGCAGCCCTTACAGCCCTGAGGCAGCCCCGCCTGTCAGGCAACGGGGTTGCAGACTGTCCAGGGGGGCTCTGGACAGTGTCCTCCAAGGGGCTACAAGGCCTCGTGTTCACGTGGCATTAGCCTGCTCAGGGCGCAGAAATCAGCATCCGCATGCTGAGTAGATTGGTCCTGGGGCGGGGTGATGGGGGGCACCTGCCTCCCAGGCTCACTACCTGGTATCCTTGGCCTCAGAGCCCTCCTTCGAGGACGTGGGCAGAGGCCCGCCCCTCCTCCGCTCCCTGGCTTTGGCATCCGAAGCATCTGTAGGTGCCCAGAGCAGGGTGACTGGCTGAGGGAAGGCAGACCTGGGGGCGGGGCCAGGCCAGGGAGGGGAGCAGATCGCTGTGACCCCAGCCCTGCCCCCGCCCCTGAGCCTTGCTGCCTTGGACGCACCAGGGCCTCTCCTGTACAGACTGAGAAACAGCCCCCACGCCCCTGCCCTGCCCGCGTGGCCCCACTCAGGCAGGCTGCTTGTGAGCCTCCCAGGGGTCACCCCACTGCCCGTCCTGCCGGAAGGGCTGCCATCCACGGAGAGTGATCCCTGAGTGCAGACACACACACCCCCAGTGACGTCCCCACAGGGAAGCGTCTGCTCTAGGACACAGATGGTCACTGCAGGGAGGCAGGACACAGCCAGCCCCCAGCTGGACCACAGGCACCACCGGGAGGCGCCACCCACGACACAGGGCCCGCAAGGGCTCCCGAGACTGAGGCCTGTGCTGGGAGCCCCCCCACCCACCACCAAAACAAACGCGCACCCAGCACGGGGCCCTCTGGCCACACAGGACCGCAGGGAGGCCCTGGGCGCTCCACAGAGCCGGGACAGAACCAGGCTGGGAGGGGCTCCGGGTGCAGCCTCGGCCCCTCCTCTCTGCCACCTTCCGCCTTCTCTCCCTCCTCCTCCCCCCTCGCCCCTCCTCTCCCCTTCCTGCTCCCCTGGTTGGGGAGCAGGGGGCAGTGGGGCAGTGGGGCAGTGTCCCGAGTCCTGCTGCCGACACTGTTCACCTCCGTGCAGCCCCCCCCCCCACCCTCAAGTATCCTGCATGGAAGTCCCCAGCCCTGAGCAGGGCTTCCAGGGCACGCCTGCCACACCCCCATCCCAGGTGGGCCCGACACCCAGCCCCCCGCCCCCGCGCACCCAGCAGCTTCTTCCAGGACTTGATGAGTGACTTGGCGAGCGCGATGACCTCCTCATCGGAGCTCTGCTTCCGCAGGGCGTTGACAGACATGCCGACCCGGGTGGACTGCAAGGTGAGGACAGGGCTGGGGCAGTAGCCAGGCCCTCCTCGCAGACCTCTGAGGGCTCCCGCGGGGCAGGGGCCAAGGGTCAGCAACGGAACAGGGCGACTTCCCGAGAGCTACTGCCCCCTCTGAGACCTGGGGGCCTCAGTGGCCAGGCACAGGGTGGGTCGCCCTGGGAAGCTCCCCATCTCAGACCAGCAGTAAAAGGTGGGGGCAACCTCATCAGCGCAGGTATTTGTGTGGCCCAAGGACGGGCGCATGGGGCAGGTAGCCCTGCTCGTGCCCCCAACCTGTCCCAGAAGCTCTCACGAGCAGGGAACATGTGGGGCCCTACCTGGAGCAGGTGCAGAGTGACCGGCATGGCTTTCAGCTCCCGCAGCAGGTCCATGGCTCCCTCCTGGAAGGAGAAGAGCCTTCATGAACTCGAGTCTCACTGGACAAGCTCACTGCCGACACTTGAGCACGTGGGGACACAAGGCAGTGATGACTAAGGGATCCACTGGGACCAGATGGGCATGAGAAGTGGCTATGCACTCAACCGGGGAACTACAGGTCACATGGCTTCTCACCTGGCATCAGCCACTAGCCAGACCGGGATGATGGCGAATGCCAGGGACAGCCACAGCCAGGTGAAGATGCCACCCCAGGGGGCAGCCCACTCCCGTGTGGTCTGTCTCTTGCCCAGGTGGATCAGGCAGCATCCTCCCAAAGTGACCCACCCACCAGCTGAGAGAGGCTGACCCAGGACCTGTCGGTGCCTCTGCTGAGGCCAAGCTTTCAGGACACCTCCATCACACCCTCGCCCACCTTGTGCATGTCCCATGACCCCATCCCCCATCCATCTCTCTGAGCCCCACTCCTTGGCTGGCCCCACCCCTCACCTGCACAGTTGCACAGACCCCCAGTCTCCTTCTTCTGCCTCCCTCCTCCCCCCACCCATGTTTCCTCACTGTTCTACGGGTGCGCCACGCTGCTGACCCCAGGACCTTCCCACCTGCTCCCATGCCAAGGACCTGTCTCTTCCAGGAGGACCAAAGACTCCCGCCATCCCTCCCCCAGAGCTGTTCCAGGGAAACCTCGGCTGCCACACCTTACACAGCACCCATCCTCCCCACTGCTCTTCTTCCCTCCACAGACACCTCCCTTTTTAATGCATGGATGTTTCCATGTGTCTCTCCCATGACATGAAAGGGCACAGATGACTCCACCCAGCCACCCAAGGTCTTGAGAGCCTGAAATGTCCTGCAGCCCGAGTGGTGGTGGGCTCACCCTGCCCCCTCCCCACCAATCTGGGTGGCACGCCACCTGGGTGACCTCCTCAGAGGGGACACAAGGGCATAGCAGCACTCCCTGATCACCTTCCCCAGGATGAGAGGGAGCCCCAGGCTTTATAATGCCAGCTTCCCAGGCTCCGGGCCAGAGAGGCATGAACACAACTCCTGACCTCTCAGGCCCAGCCGCCAACTCCCCCGAGGGGCTTTGGGGTTGCTGGAACCCTGGGAGCCTCTGCCAGCTCTCACACCCCACCCCACAGCCCCCCAACCCCAACTGCCTGGCCAGTCCAGATATGTGCCAACGACGGCAGCCCCTTCCTCACTCTCCCCTGGGGCTTGAGGGTGTTTCCACCTGCACTCCCTGCACCCCCAGTTCTGCCAGGCCCTACTCAGACCTCCGGGAGTTTCGGGGCCCATCTCTGTCTCCACCACGGGGGTGTTCATTGTTTTGTACCCTCGACAGGGTAGGGGGGTGCATCTTCTTTCTCCAGTCACCTCTGGAAAAGGCTATGGGTTGCTCCCACACTTCCTAGGGGTATGGACACAATGAGGGCACTGGAGCCAGCCCGTTCCCTGACCCTGGGTCGACAGGCACCCATATCCAACCCTGCTCAACTCAAAAAGCCACCCCAAACTCCGTGAGAAAGGAGAGTAGGTCTGTGTTCACCAAGCCTCTCTGGGGCCGGCGGGACCCTCTCCACCTGCCGAGGATGCTTCTCTGTGAGGGCATGCAGCTGGCCAAGGCCTCCAAGCTGAGGGGCCGCACTGGTCTCCCACCCGCCGGGTTTCTCTCCGAGGCCGCGGCACCCCAGCGGCCCGACATTCCCAGGCTGGGCTGCGGGACTGCTAACGCCCTTGCCTGAGGGTCTCGCTATCTACCCACCCCCCAGTGGGTGCTGGCCGAGTCCTGGCCGAAGGGAAAGCATTTATTAGGGAATCCTGGTTCTTGCAGGGCGGGGACAAGAGAAGGGAAGGCCTGCGGCCGGCCCGCGAACCGGAGACAGCGAGCGCTGCAGCCCCAAGCGCCACGGCGATGCCCGGGGAAAGAGGCGATCGCAATCCACACTCCCGCCGGCAGGAACCCGGCGTGGGACCAGGGCGGGGCCGGGGACTGCTGCAGGGACGCCCCGGAGGGGCGGGGCAGGGCTGCGCGGGCCCAGACCCGCGGGGTTCCCCGACTGCGGTTGGGTCTGACTCCAGAGCGGTGGCTGCGGGACAACGTCCAGGCCCGATAGCGGCCTCCGCCGTGGGTGTAGAGGTGATGGGCAGGACTGTCCCGGGGCAGGGGTCTCGGCCACCGGCGGGGTCTCTTCCTGCCCCTCGGGTGCTCTCCCCGGCCCTGACGGGGACACGGCAGGCTTGGCTGGGGTTCGGCGGGGCGGGGGTCCCGGGGTCCTGGCGGCCCGCGCCCCTCACCGCGCTCTTCTTGGTCACCATCTTGTCCAGCCTCCGGGCGATGCGCGCAATCTCCTCCTCCTTGCCCATCATTGCCTCAGGGGCAGCGCCCCCAGCGCCCACCGCGCCAGCCTCAACCTGCCGCCACCGACGCCAGTCTCCGCCGTCGCCGCCTCCCGCACCCGCCGCAGCCGACGCAGTCTTGCGGGCGAGGGAGACCCTTCGTTCAAACCCCCGGCCCCCGCGCCCGCCGCGCTGCACCCTGGGACACGTAGTTCCGGCGCCTATCCGCCTCGCGCGCGCTCTCCCGTTCTGGACCACAACTCCCATGATCCATGCGGTCGCGCACAACTTCTTGGGAATTGTAGTCTTCGCTCGGGATGTCGCCGAAGACCTGCGGGAAAGGAGGACTAACAGTCCCACAAGCCCCGGCGCGGTCCCGTTAGCTTTGGACTTGCGTTGGCGCTTGAGGCTAGGACGTGAGTTCCCGCTGCAGCGTGGACCCCAGGACCTCGCCGTGGATCTTCCGCTCTGGAGCAGCGGGGGAAGGGAGGCAGGGCCCACTATGCACCTTAGAGTCTTTCCCCTCTCAACCTTTTTTGAGCACTCCTCTTCCTCCTCTCCCCGCCGCCCCGGCGCCGTCGCGGGGCACCGGCCTCTGACTCCCGCGCCCCAGAGCCAAGTCGTGCGGGCGTGGACACGCCCTGCGCGCTGTGCCCCAGATCCTGGCCTCCAGGCAGCCTGCGGGGAGCCTGGAGCTGGGAGGGAGCAGTAGCCAGTTGCGGAGATGGGGAGGCTGGAGTTGGGTCCGCTGGGCGCCAAGGGACCCTGCTGCGGCAGTCAGCCCATCGGATGCGCATCCTGGGCTGCCACTTCAAATAAGTCACTGGCCATTCTGTGCCTCAGTCTCCCTGTCTGTGCAATGGGATGTCCCCAGCGGCTCCTGTCAGGACGATGCACTGAGGACAGGGTAGAGGACAGAGCACAGGCAGTTACATGGTCAATGCCCTCGCAGCGGGAGGGAGGGGTCAGACTGCACTAAATTGAAGGGGTGGCCTGGCAGGAGGAGGTCAGCATCATCGATGTCTGCCACTTCTCCAGTGATGCAGATGCTGGGTGGTTTGCTGGAGGGGGTGGAACATCTGGGGGTCCAACACCAGGGACCCTGGGGAAGCTGGAGCCACACACCTTTCAATCCCTCTCGACTGATGACAGATGGCCAGAACAAGTTGCTGGCCAGGGTCCCGTAACAAACCAGCAGGAACCCTAGAGAATGGAGTCCAGGAGATTAGGCTGCAAGGACTTCAAAGCTGGACCGGAGGACTGCTCAGAGAAATGCTACCTCGGGCTGGTACCCCCTCCAAGTGCCACAACTGGGACCCAACAGAGCTCGGAGCCCAGGGGAGGGAGGTCAACCCACACAGCCAGCAGGGAGCAGCCCTCTGTCTAGTAGAGTCCAATGACAAGCCTCTCAGGGCCTCACCTTGCCGCCAAGAAGTGTTTGTCCCAGACACCCAACTGTGGCCTGGGCTCCCATGGGGTAGTGTCTGAGCCATCAGCACGGCCCCCTGGAGCAGGTTGCTGCCACGGAGCCAGCCCCAAGGCCAGTTTCCATCCGCTGTCTGCACAGGATGGGGATGGACGAGTGCAAAGTGCCTGGGAGGGGAGTGGGCAGGCAGATCCCCCAGGGAACTAGCCTGAAGACTCTCCCTGGGCGATGGCCCCTGGCCAGTGGAGGCCTCCCGCCATCCCGTGTAAGGGGCTTTGCGTAAGGGGTGCTGCTAAGGGTCTGGCCGTGCTGGATGTTTCCAGCCACGAAGACGTCAGTGCATGGACTCTCAAGCATGACTAAAGAGCTGGTTAAGAATGAAGACCCTGCTTTTTGAACCCCAGGGATGGGGCCCTGGGGTCTTTGTCCTCTGTCTGCAGGTGGCAGAGGCATAGGCCACCAGCTGGCTGGGGTGCATGCTGAGCAGTGGGCCCCTAGAGGGGGGCGGAGACTCGGAGGGCTGCACCCCAAGGTACAACAGGGTCCCTGGACTGGGAGGTGGGCAGTGGTCTGGAAGCCCTGTGACCCTACCCAGCTGCTGGGAGGGCAGGAGGTAGGGAGGCAGAGGCACAGGAGACACAGACGGCAGGTCTGGAGGCAGAGGAGGTGGCTGCTGGGGTGGGGGGGCGAGAACAGTACAAAGTCTCAGCTTGGGGCCCAGGGCCAAGCCCCGGTCAGAAAAGGAACAGGGTGGGAAGGGGCCGTCCTCACCCTCCCACCCACCTCTGGCAGAGGCAGTGTTTCCTGGGTTAGGGGTGGAGCAGTGAACCGTGTCCCAGGGCGGGGCCAGGTGCCCACAGCAAAGAGGGGCCGCAGCTGAGGGAGCTGCAGTGAGGACGGGGCACTGGCACCCGTGTCGCACGTCTCAGAAAGTGCTTCAACAACGGTCTCAGCGCAGCTGGTGTCTTCGCAGCCCGTGAGTGTCAGTCTGTGCACGGAAGCCAGGATGTGAGGACGGGGCGTCATTCCCCTGCCCGGCCACCCTGGCCTTCGCTCCCCCTCCGTGGGGAGCCAGGTGGTCCCTACCTCTGGGGGTCCAGGGCTCCGCCACAGAGACAGCTCTAGGAGCCTGGTCTGTCTCTGTGCATCTCAGTTGAGGCCCAGTGACACTGCAGGCCATGGAGACCAAGCCTCCATGGCCCACGAGGAGGATGGCCAGGAAGCCCAGCAGAGGGTTCAGTTTGTGGGGAACCTGGCCCAGGACAGGGCAGGCCATGTGGAGGAGGAGGTGAATGGGACAGGTAGGAGTCAGATGGCTTCCAAGATGGGGAACTGGGGGCCACCACCAGTGCAGCGGGAGGGGTGCAGCCCCAGGCAAGGTGAGGGGAGTCTGAGGTCCAGGTAGGACGACACCACTTTGAGCAGTGGCCTCTAGGTGGCGGGAGTGAGCCTCAGACAGCCGGCCTGCCCGGCATCCACCCTTCCTCTGGAGAAGTCCAGGCGGTCTGGCCACCGCCAGAGGGACAGTGCTTAGTCCTGGAGAGACTCCTCACTCCGGAGTAAGTGTGGAGAGAGGTCCTCACTCCTGCGGGCTGTAGGTGGGTCCCGCCCTTGCCAGGGCTCCAGCTGGAGCAGCGCCGGCCAAGCACAAAACTCCAGTGCCTCACCTGAGCAGCCCCAGGCCCTTGGGCCCCTTACGATTCCTGACCCCCAGAGCCTTGCTCCCCCTCACCCCACGTGGGCCTTGCCTGACCCTGGGAACTTCCTCCTCCAAGGAGCTTCCCCAGCAAGCTGCCTGGGCCCGCAGGGCCTCCTGTGCTCTCTGCCAGCTGCCCCCCGGGGCGGGGGGTTGGGGGGGCATCAGACCATGGGACTCTGCTTCCAGAGGGTGGTCGCAGCTTCAGCAGATGCCCACCAGGGCTGGGTCCTTCCGGATCTGCACCCCGCTGCCCCCGGCCTTATTCCAGGCTGGGTCTGGAGGCTGTGAGCCATGAAAATGCGGATGTGTGGCCAGGAGGGGGTTCTTATTAGAGGTCAGCGATGAAGAGGAGTCAGGGTGGGCACAGCACTCTCACCTCCTAGCCCTGCTTCCTTCCTCCAGAAGACCCTCTGGACACTGCCAGCCCACAGCCGGGCGGCCACTCAGTTCCCACAATGCCCTGAGGGGCACCCGCAGAAGCCCCACCCCTAAGGCTGCCTTCCCTGCAGCCCACCCTGCAGGGTGGTGTTCCCGCCTGGCTGTCCATGCTCCACCCCTTTAGAGAAAGGGGTGCCATCAGAAGCCCTCTGTAGGAGCCCCACCCTGCCCAGGGGGCTCTGACAGGCAGTGGGGGCAACCCCGGTGCCCACCCCCCACAGGCCCAGACACACCTTTGGCCCAGAGGCCTGCCCCACCTCCGTCCTCAGTCCACGGAAACATCGGAAGCTCAAGCCATTAATTTTTCTATTTGGGCCCCCACCCCCCGCCATCCACAGCTGGCCATGACCCCAGCGGGTCGCATCCTCGCTTCCCTCCTGGCTGGGGCAGGGGCCCTGGTGGGAAGGCCTGTGTTTCTACACTCACACGGCCCCCCTGGCTTCCTGTGGCTCCAGGCAGGTGCCTCGCAGCCCGTGCAGCCTCCCTCCCCTGCTGCCTGCAGGCTGCTCTCCGCTGGCCTGGCACCTGGCCATCCCTTCACCCTGCTCCTCAGACCCCCTGGCCCAGCACGGGGACCCTGTGGCACTTAGACCCAGCCTACTCCATCTAGGCCTCCCCCAGAGCTGACTCTCGGGGCCCGGCAGAGCAGCAAGAGTCCCCTGTCCAGGTGCCACTGCCGCCCCTCTCTGGGCCTCAGTCTCTCCGTCTGTGCAATGGAAGGGCAGTGTCTCTCGGAAAGTCCCCAGCAGGCCCATCACCTTGGCCAAGGCCCAGCGCTGCCCCCCCAGAGGCAGCCCTTGTGGGGCGGCAGCTGGCGTCCCCAGAGGCTGGGGCCTGCTCCAGGCTGCTCTAACAATGCGCTTCCCCCACACAATTCCCAGAAACGCCGCCCTTGCAGCCCTGCCAGCCCGCCAGCCCGGCGGCCACTCCACCTCCCCTCCCCAGGGGCCCAGGCCACAGCGGGTTGGGGGCTGTGGGTGACTGGAGAGGATCAGCACACCCCGGGGTCAAGCACAGCAGCCCTGCTCTCCCAGAGAGAAATATGGGAGACTCTTGGGGGGGCGGCTGAGGAGCCAGGCCTCAGGAGATGACCTTGGGGGCTCCAGGCACGGACCCCTGCCCTTCGCCCCTGGCCCATGTCCATGCAGCTCTGTGGAAGCCATCAGGGGAGGCCCCTCTTCTGCTCGAAGTTCCCCCAAGTCACCAAGTCTCCTGCAGAGAAGAAGCCAGACCCTCCCGGCCCCACATGGCCCCTCCCCACTCCTCCCAACCACCTGCACACAGCACCACCCCGGGCATTTGCACGTGCTGGTGTTCATGCGCAAACACCCCCCAGCCCTCCCCCACGTCTTTCACACGTTACCTTCAAGAAGCACTTAAAGAATCCCCTCCCAACAGGCAGGGGCGTCCGACACAGGCCCTGTGCCCTGGACGCCGCCCCGCTCCCGGGGCAGCACCCCAGGTGCTGACTCCTCAGTAGAGTCACTGATCTTCAGTTCCCCAGGACTGGAGCTCCCTGCTGGCGGGGACTCGGGTCTGACTTGTTTGCTGCCAGATCTCATCCCCTGGAACAGGGTCCAGCACACAGCAGGTGCTCGGCAAATACAGACAAACGGGCAGTGGATGAGTGACTCCCGAGCAAGAAGGCATGGATGGTTCCAAAGGACACAGACCTCCCCCTGCCATCCCCACCTGGCTGGGCCATCAAAGCCACTTGTCACCATAGCTGCAGGGCCTGGGGGCTGGTGACCACCTGGGGCTGTGCTTCCTCCCACGATTTCCACCACAGACAGCCAAGGATCGTCACCAGCACCGGGCAGAAGAGTATGGAGCCAGGCCAGCCCAGGGCAGGGCTGTCCAGGGGCACACTGGGTGCAGGGTGCCACCACACAGACACCGTGCAGGGCACACAGTGAGCCCCACCTCCGTGCCACCAGGGGCACAACTGGTGTAGCACAGACACCCGCAGGCCCAGCCCCGGGGTGCTGAGATCTGACCGGAGACAGCCAGACCAGCGGCTGCCCTTGCCCAGGTTGGGTGGCCTGGGGTGGAGCCAGGGGCAAGAACGCCGGACGGCTGGACAGACAGAGTGTCTGGCGCCTGCTCAGCCAGGCCGGCCCTGGGCTCCCTCCTTGCAGCTGCAGCCTTCCTTCCTGAGCTGCTGTTTCCTGGCCCTGCCCTGCTGTTGCCGTGGAAACCTACAGCAGCCTGATCCCCCCCCAGGCTGGTTCCCATGGAGTCCCCGCTGAGCGGGGAGGGGGGCCACACAGCACGCAGCAACACCCCAGGACACACACAGCCACACCAGGCCCCAAGGGCTCGCACAGCTCCCCACCCCCGCTCTCCTCCAGCGCAGAGCTGCCTGATGTTGGGACAGCCACAGAAGTCATTGCCGCCGCCAGCGTCCACAGCTTGTCTGCCACTCTACAGCCTGTGGTCACTCTCGGGCCTCCCCACAGCCCCCAGGCCCTGGACCCCCAGCTGCTCCGCCGGACCTGCCACCTGCATGACAGGCCCCCTTCTCCCACCCACTGAGGCACAGCAACTCACCCCGCTGCCCCCTCCAAGGGCTCGGACCCCAGGCTGGCCGACGCCCCATGAGCCCGCTGACACCAAGTCCCACACCCAGTCTGCCCCACCACGGGAGCCACACACTGACCCCAATCTGAACCCACCGAGCACCCCAGGAACGAGCAGGAACGGCCTGCGGGGGGAGGGGGAGCAGTGGTGGCGTCAAGTCCGTCGCCCTGGGGCCTGCACCCCAGCATCTCCCCAAACCAAACCCATCACTGAGTGAGACATGTGTGTGCCCACTTGATTCTAGGTGGCCCCTGCCCAGAGACTCCGTCCCTGCACCTCAGAGTCCCCAGCCCGGCCCCTGCCAGCAGCTTCAAGGACAAGCATGAGGACCTGGGCCAGACTTCAGCCCTGGCCTGCAGGACATGAGGCAGAATCTGAACTGGGCGGCCTGGCTCCAAACTCGAGGTCTCAGAGACCAAAGGGTCACCTCACCTGGACCTGTGTCCAGGGGACCCCCACCTCCACCCTCTGGAACCGGAAGGCCCAGCTTGAGGGCCTCCGTAATTGGTCCCAGGCTCACGGCTCCCGCAGTGGGGCTGGGCGGGTGGAGCCTGTGAGGTCTGAGCCCCGGGCAGCGCCTGGGAGGTCCACCACCCCGGAGCCCATCCAAGCCCCCACCCAGAGCCACTGAAGGGGGTTACCCAGCATCCTCTGCAGGCTTCCCCGGAGGCTGGGGCATCCAGTCCAGGCTGAGGGGAGAGTGGGCAGAGAGAGCGGTGTCCAGACAACGCCCAGGCCGGCGGCCCCCTTGCAGAAAAACACCGTCCCCCGAGCTACCTTTGGTCTGGGGACTTAGGGGGCTACAGACGAGGCCTCCCAAAGGTGGGAAGCAGTCAGTCTGAGCCAGGCCGACCTGAGGTGGGTTCTGGAGACACAGGAACACCCCCAAACTCATGAATCACCCACACTTTGGCTGGAGCTGGGACCACAGCTTGGTGGCCAGAGAAGTCTTGGGGAGCGCCCCCGTGGTGGGTGTTGAGGGCCAGGACTGCCCTTGGCAGGACCCCCATTCTAGGTCAGGGGCAGCCCCAAACCCAGGCAGACACACAGACCACACACCGAGGCAGACACGCATCTGACGCTCCTCCCTCAGCACAGCTGGCCACACCCGCGCAGGCCCTTGTGGGGCCCTGGGGAGCCCCCCCATTGTTCTCCCATCTGGACAGTGGGCCTCAGCGGCAGGCCTTCCACACCCCTCCAGGCAGCACATGGGGGGACAGCCTGACCCCCAAAATGTACAGGGCACCCGAGGGCTCTCCCCTTGCCCTGCCCAGTCCCAGCCCACAGGACATGACAGCCGGACACCTGCGTGAACAGTGGGAGCGAGAGGGCGGGTCACCGTCTGGCGCCAGGCGAGGCGGCTGTGGGGGGGTGGGGCCCCGGGGGGGCGGTGAGGTAATGCCGGACGCGGCCCTCGCTGCCTCTGGAGCAGGGCAGACCACCCTGGGCTGTCAGGGGGCCGCGCAGAGCCCCTTCAGGAGCCAGAAATCCATCCCTCTCCAGGGGAGCAGGGGTCACACAGTGGGGGACCCTTCCTGAACCTAGGGACCGTCACCCCACACCAGCTGCTGCCCAGGCTGAGCCTGGCCCCGGTGACCCCGACGGCCAGAGGGTGGTGGGTGGAGCAGCCCTGCCAGGTGCTGGCCCTGAGGGCCCACCCTTCGACCTGGAGCCATCCCCCACCGCTCCCCACGTTGGTGGTGGGGTTCACTGCTTTCCAGTCAAAGGCGAGTGGGCCCCCCTGGGAAGGGCCCTTGTGGGGTGACAACCTTTCCCAGGGGCTGCTCCAGACCCACTACACTTGCAGGGCTGACTGCTTGTGACCTAGGGGGACCAGCGGGGACAGAGTGCTGAGAGCCTCTGGCCACACAGGCCCACGGTCCCTGGCACCCCTGTCCTGCCCTGTGACCCTCCCAGCAACTGGGG